TCTCTGAGAGCTCCTAAGACCTGGCTCAAAGACTTAACACACCATCCACGTTTCTCTCCCTCTTCCCAGATGGCGTTGATGGGAAGCAGGCACGCCGGACCAACTCCAGCACCCCCCTGGGAGAGCTCTTTGACCACGGCCTGGACAGCTGGGCCTGTGTGTACTTTGTGGTCACCGTGTACTCCACCTTCGGCCGCGGCTCCACCGGCGTCAGCGTCTTCGTGCTCTACCTCCTGCTCTGGGTGGTCTTGTTTTCCTTCATCCTCTCCCACTGGGAGAAGTATAACACAGGGATTCTCTTCCTGCCCTGGGGATATGACGTCAGCCAGGTGGTGAGTTCATGCCCTGAGAAGCTGCTGGGTGCAGTGCTGCCCACTGAGGGGTGTTCTGCTGTGGATCCAAAGCCTTGTCAGTCATGGAGTCAGTCCATGGACATGGACTCTCCATGACAAACAAGGCTTGAAGGATGGACACGACCTTGGCTCTCCTCTCCCTGCTTCCTGCACGTTTTGCCCGCTGGAATTGTTGCTTTATGTAGTTCCCTACGTGGTACCAGTGTGGGTAAAGCCTAGAAGTTTGGGATGCCTTTTGGCACTTCCAGGATCTGGGTCAAAAAATCAGCAGAGGTAATTGGCTTGTTAATTGCTGTTCCTGAAGCAAAGATTCCTGGGGAGGTGTCCCTCCAGACCACGGTCCCTGGGCAGTGGGTGTTGAGACTGATGGTGATGGCTGCCTTGGGGTGTTGGTGTGTCCATCCCTCCTTAAGGAATTCTCTGCAGGAAGCTCTTCCTGAAGAGAACAGGGACCTAGGGATGAGGCAACTCTCCTGGATTGCTGGCAGTGCCTTCCTCCAGCCCAGGGTGCTCCAAGCTTTGTCCAGCCTGGCCTATGGCCTTGGACATTTCCAGGGATGAGGGAGCCACAGCTTCTCTGGGCAACCACCCTCATTGTGAAAAAGCTTCTTTTTAACTCAGTATCTTATGTCCATTTATTTGTTCTCTGGTTTGTCAGATGCTGGGTGGGAAATGCAGTGAGTTGGAAGGAGAGTTTAATTAATGCAACTGCATTAATTGGAATAATCATTTCTCCTATTACAAGGAGACCAGAGCTGGTCCCTGAGTGTACTCTGATCCTTTCTCCCAAAATGTTGCTTAACCCAGGTCTTTGAGCTGCCTGCTGGAGAAAGGCAGGGGTGGAGGGCAGAGCAGCGTGTTCCACCCAGCTTCAGGGGACTATTAAAGCTGAAATAGCCCTGGTGAGCTTCTCCCTGTAATCCAGCAGCAGATGGATAAGGAAGAGTCCCTGAATGACCCCTCCAGGGTCACTGCAACTTGTGTAAAACCTGTGCTGTGGTCACCTCGAGAGTTCAAGGCTGTGCCAGGGCATCTCTCCTGCAGCTCTTGGTCATATTTTCCTCATGGAATCAGTGAGGTTGGAAAAACCCTCTGAGACCATCGAGTCCAGCACTGCCAAGGCC